TCATTCTCTTCTTCTTTATTCCGCCTACTGTCATTTTGGTGGGAGTTGGGAGGCACTGTTTGCAGCATATCACATTTAACTGACAGCACCATCTTAGCTCTTCCTTCTGTTGGTTACTTGAGGTAAGAACATAGGGAGGAAGTAAACAGTATTTACCTTTAATACCCCAAGTAGCTCTGCTCATCATGTCTGCCTCAATGTCCCAGGCCTGCATTCCTCCCGTATCCCTCACTGGCAATTTCCTTGAAGTTTCTCTTCCTAATTCTCTTAGTAGGTGGGACTTCTTTTCAGTGGTATTGATGGTAGACCTGAAAATTCAGTGATGTGGGCAGTTCTGGAGAGAATAGGCCAGGCTGTCTGTTGATGCATTTATATTGGGCTTGAGGATTGAATGCTACAAATCAGACAGTCCTGGATTATTTCAGACTGAAAAAAATTAGGAGACCAACCTGGGAGGAGGCAGAAGGCATGCCACCTCTCTCAGCATGTTTTTGATGTCTCAGTGTTCTCATTTCGTTGAAATTAGTGCGGACCTCTCCCCTCAACGGTAACACTTGGATTTTCTAAGCCACTTTGATGTCTCTTATCTCTGCTTATTTACAATGAACATAGCTTCAAATTTTCATTTTCTTTCTACTCTGTTAAATGTGTTACATGGAAATCTGAAGATAGAATTTTTACCTTAGAATTATAAGAATGCCTTTGGCATCAACTTGAGATATAAAGGTCTAACTCAGGGTGGAAAGGGTGTTTTGAAAAAAGGTGATATACATGAGGCAGCCATCACTTTTGAAACAGTTTGAGAGGTTTAATTTATTTCTCATGCTTTGGTAAACAAAAGCTGGCATTTTCCTTCCATTTAAACTGCAAGGCTGCCGTTCCTACCCTTCCCCCGCAGTGGTGCATTTTGGTGGTCAAATCTAAAACATGTGTCAGGTTGATAGGCATGCTTTTTGCCAGGCACCTCCTTTCACACTTGCTATATTGGCAGTTTTTACAGATCTTCTCTCCGTGCTTTATTTATTTATTTACTCTGCTTGCATTGTGGAATTATGGGTAGAGCTGCTTTACATCAGAATCATTTAAAATAAAAATATTGAAAGAACATTTTGACCAAGAATAATGCGAATATTTCAACATAAATATCTATGCCGAATTGGCTTCTAGATTTCAGGACAGGAAGAACATCTTTAGCGATGTTCATGATTTGATTTTGCTTTGCTGCAGATTAGGTTTAGCGACAAATTCCATCTGGCTGGAGCTACATGCAGTCTCTCTATTGATTGGTTATATTGGGACTTCATGGGAGTGTCCTTCAATTTGCTTTTCCCAGCATTTTTAAAAGCTCCATTGAAAAAAAAAATAGAGGCTAGAAAAGAGAAAAAAGGAATCTGCATTGTTTCAGTTTGCATCCAACATGCAAAACATAGTTCTAAATTTTTAATTAGCTAAGTGAGTGGTGAAAAGGAAAAGTAATATAACAAGCCTCGGTGAGCAGCTGGGATGTGTTGTCATGACGACAAGTTCAGCAGGCTGCCAGCAAGCATGTCAATGGGTAATATGGGGAGAGGGCTTTGAAACAGTGCCTGCTAGCCACAGTGTGATTGGTCACGCCTCTGTTGTCTTTGTGTGAACCGGTGCATGCTGGGTAAGACCTAGAGTGAATGCTCAGCTTGTCTCAAGGCTGCAATGAGGTAATGCTTCTGAATCTCTGGGGATTATGAGCTCCTTCCTCCAAAAGACTGCAGTCTAGAGTGTTTTCATTCCGATTTGCGTTAATTACTGACTATAACCTGTTAGGAAGTTTTACAGCTGCCTTTATTCAATCTTTTATATGTGCATGTGTATATTATAGATAACTTAACACGTGTGTATGCTGCATATAGAATCTCAAGCGTATTCTAAAAAAAGAGATAACCCTCCATATTAGTCATTCTGCTCAGAGTCAACATTTCATTTGATTGCTGGCATCACTGACAATATCTATTGGTGGATAAATGATATATTAAAGTGCGTTTACATTGGGTAAGCAAACTTGTTCATTTCTAGAGAATATTTTGGCATTGATTACTTTTTAAAGTCTTTTATCTATGATGAGTCGTAAGGGGCATAGAGGGGGTTGTAAAGAGTGTCGGATTTGCTTGGTCAGGAGGTTTAGTTCATGTTTAGATTCCTTGAAATTGGCCAGTTTATATCCTAATATTGATATTATAGTCTTTCATTAATTGACCGTAATATCGGACTGCTCCAAAATTATCTGCTGAATAATGCTCTGACAGTTTCAACTTACAGCTGTAAAGGGAAGCTGTGTTTACAGATGCAAAGATCTGGAAATGCTTATGGTGGTTTGTGAAACAAATACATCAAGGTGCTGATGTGACAGAGACACATGAGCTACACCCCTCAGCCCTACCCCTGGTTCTCTGTGACACAGCGCCTTGGATGCTCTCCAGGGTTTTGTCGGTTGGTTAGAGAATGTTTTATCACATTCATAAATAGTAACCTAATGCCCTGGAAAGGTTAGGGCAGTGTCTCCAACTACAGTATGTGTCGCTAGTGGAGACACATGCCGTAGTTGAGTTGGGCTGTCCGGTTCATCGCGTCACCAAAGGGAAGCATGTGAGCGAGCTTTTGGACGGAGCTCGTGGAGCTGTCGTATCGCTACCCTGTTGTATTTACCTCGCAAACAGTTCATAAAAATTTATAAGCCTTTAAATGTATAAACAAAGAGTAAAAACACCTCGAACTACAAGTAATGGTTGCTGCTGCTGCTGAATAGAACAGTGGACTGTGCCAGCCACCTTGCCTTCTTTGAGGTCAGGCCACCGGCATGTGGGGAAACTGGATGATCGTCAGCCCAGCTACCTCCATTCACCAAGTACAAGGCCAGCTAGCAAGAGTCTGTAGCCAGCTTTGCAGCACATCAGACTTGCTCTATTCTTTTATATATTCATTTTTGAATTTTTTAGATTTCAAGGTACAAGCGCAGTACCCCTAAAGCCATATTGTTACATGCCTGTATTGCACAGTGGTGAAGTCCGGGCTTTTTGGGTGCCCGTCACCCTGATAGTGTACATTGCACCCAGTAGGTAGTGTTCTTGGCTTATTTTTATTCATCTCTGTGGTTTCTGTTTATATGGCTTTGTAAAGAAAGACTTTACCAAAGATAAATAAATGTGATAGTATATCTAGGTTTTTAAATAATTGATTCAAAATACTTGTAGCACAAAAAGGATCTTGGGTTGTGACTTTTACCAAGATGTTGATTCTCTCTCATGGCACAAATGCCAAAGACAGACCGCTTGTGCTGAGACCACAGTTGGAAAGGCCCTTGAAGTGGGCTGGAGTCCTTTGTCTCAAACAAAGCAGGGTGCAGTGACCCCGTGAAGAGAAATCCACCTGTTGATGAGACCGGCACTGTTTCTCTATAAACATTTGATTGTTCTGTTACCTTCATTTCTCTGGGGTATGGATTAATTGTGTAGTTTCACATCTCAAGCATGCTTTGCTAATTTAAACAATTTTGAGGTTCATTAATGACTCAGTTTGCATAAGATTGGATCCTCTGTAATGCAGTTCCATTGTTATAAGCAGGATTTGCTACCTTTGTTGACTCGCAGGCTATAAATTTGGTTCCCTTACTTTAAAACATAGAAATCATATTGATTAATCATCGTAGGAAAACATCTTTATTTTGTATAACGATATAGTAATTGTTTTTCTTAAGTGGCAAAATTCTAATCTTTTATATTTACCTGATTCAGTATGTCTCTGTGGTCAGATTATGATATGGCAAAATCTTCATTATTAAGTCATTTTACAGCGTCAAACAAATGCAAAATTAATATGTTAAAGATTAAGTAGAATCGAAACGTAAAGAGATGTTCTGTTTAATTTACTGTTTCATGAGCTTTTTACTATTTTGAAAGCCCCCTTGAAGAGGAGCAATGGCAAGTTCAAACTAGCGTGAATCATTATATCCTGTGACAGGCTCCGCAATAAATGACTTGTGATTGATGTGAAGCCTGATGCTTCGAGATGAATGGCAGATGCAGTACTGAAGTGTTTCTCTTTCATCACTAACATTACCCAGTGAAGCTAGTGGCTTAGCAAAAGACTCGGCTTAGAAATAATTGGGATTGGTAAGTTTTTAAAGATATGACCCTTTAGGGAAGTCTGGAGAAAAACAGTGTGCTTTTAGATAATTTGGTGGGTTCAAGAAATTTAAACATACTTTTTTTTTTATAAATTCACTCTTTACAAACAAATGTCAAGCTTGCGACGTTTTTTAAAAGGGGTTTATTAAGCAGTAGAAGCAAAAGTTCTTTTGAAGGTAGGCAAACTTTAGAAGAAGAATAAAATCAGGGTCTCTGGAAGATCGAATATCAACAGTATTAAGGCTTCAAAATCAGACAAAATCTTATCATTGGGTCACTTTTGCTGACTTGCTCTCTTAACACTGATCCTCTCCCATACTCACCAGTCACAAAAGTCAGTGTCCCTCAGGTGTAGGTGAGTGGATGGACCTGGCTCTTTACCGATCAGGTGGTTCCATCACATAGAAACATGAGGAGGATAGGGTATTTGTTACTCCCAACTAAGAAACATGTGGTCTTTATTCTTAAGAATTTTATTGTGACATCAAAAAGTCATATTTGTATAGTACTTAACTCATTAAGAAAGTGCCATTAAAATAACTTCTAAATGACACAAATTACAATAGGAAACTCCATGTCGAATGTTGATTTATCTATTTAAAAATGTTATATTATTTCTTTTTTTTTTTTTTTTTTTTTTTGAGACAGAGTCTCACACAGTCACCCAGGCTGGAGGGCAATGGTGTGATCTCTGTTCACTGCAACCTCCACCTCCTGGGTTCAAGCAATTCTCATGACTTAGCCTCCTGAGTAGCTGGAATATCAGGTGCCCACCACCACACCCAGCTAATTTTTGTATTTTTAGTAGAGATGGGTTTCACCATGTTGGCCAGGCTGGTTTCAAACTACTGACCTCAAAAGATCTGCCTGCCTCGGCCTCCCAAAGTGCTAGGATTACAGGTGTGAGCTACCGCGCCCAACCATTTTTCTAATATGACAAAAATGAAGCCTTAGCAGCTTTCTTTACAATGCTGAATATTGATAATTGAAATAGAGACTAGCCTGAAATGTACATCTGTTTCATTTATGAAGAAAGTGTTTCCTAAATGAATTAATGGCACTGGAAAGTACGCAGGAGAGATTATCTGCTTCAGAGAATTAACTTTGCAGGTCGCTTCAGTTCTTCTGGTGGGGTGCTAATTAATATTCAAATGCTATGTTGAGAAAAGACTGATTTTCAGACCTTTGTGACTTAGAATCACTTCTCCTATGGTGCATTTTACACTTTCTGTGGTTGTGATATGTCAAATCCTTTTTTATTTGGAGCTGATGTTATTTAGATTGAGTCTATGGTGAGGTTGTATGCAATGCCTGATGCCAGCAGTGCCGGAAGGGCAGATGCTGCCTTTATCCCCGTACCTGTTTATCTTGAATTTAAAGCTTGTTACTTGTAGGTAGATCGTACTGTGTCTTTTTCTTCCTTTTGTCCTCATAGTACCCAGACCAGTGCTAAGCATAAAATAGGTGCTGATATATATCTCAGTTAGTTGTAAAAAAACTAGTGAGTTTTTTTGTTTTGTTTTGTTTTTTGAGACAGAGCCTTGCTCCGTCGTGCCCAGACTGGAGTCCAGGGGCACAATCTCGGCTCACTGAAACCCCTGCCTCCCAGGTTCAAGCGATTCTCCCACCTAAGTCTTCCAAGTAGCTGGGATTACAGGCACCTGCCACCATGCCCAGCTAATTTTTTGTATTTTTAGTAGAGATAGGGTTTCACTATTTTGGCCAGGCTGGTCTTGAACTCCTGACCTCAGGTGATCTGCCCGCCTCAGCCTCCAAGAGTGCTGGGATTACAGATGTGAGCCACTGTGCCCGGCCAAATTGGTGAGTTTTTATGTTGAAATGTTATGAATAGTTACCCTTGACCTCAGAAACAGGAAATGGAAGGGTTTTATGAAATCGTAGACGTGTTACCTGTTGAATTTTCTTATCACCAAATCGTGCTTCTCATATTTACCCATTTCCTCTTTCAATCAGCATAAAAATCTTATAGGCTTGAAATCTGAAATTTGAATAAAAAGGAAATATTGTGGTTGAAATTAAATCAAAGCAATTATGCCGTGTTTATGAATCTTTTAGCCACTCATGGCGCCAGCATTTTCTTGGTGACAGGGCATGTGGAATGGTGACAAGTGCGTAGGTTCGGGACATTAGACAGAACCACATTTGAATCTCAGAGGTACCATTTACTTGCTGGGAGACATAGAACAGATTAGCTGTAACTGCTTAAATGAGGATTCCACCCACATCACAGGTTATATTAATTGTGGACCTATCTGAAGTGTCTGACACAGAGTACTGGCTATGCAGTAGATGCCCACTAAATGTTAGTATTCTTTATCTCCTGCTTGCATTTAATTGCTAAAATGACCAAATTTTGTTCGCTTTAATGGGGTATCTTTCCTGATGGGATAAGAGAGAATTATTAGTTCTTCAACTCTGATAAGTCATTCGAGAGGAATATCTATCTGATACAACATGACAATTTTATCATCTATACTTAGGTAATGTCCTTAGTTTTGTCATAGGGATGCACTTGATATAGACATATTGAGATCATTAGGGGTTTATCATTGGAAAAGCCCAGAAGGGCAAGGGGAGCATCAGAGGGAAAGCTCATTCTGGCAGTTATGCTTAGGGTGACAGAAAAAACCAGGGGAGGGGTTTCCAGGAGTGCAGATCAAAACCCAAAGTGGAAGGAAAGGAGCGAATTTAGAGACATCCAGAGAGCGAGGAGACTGGCTCTGTTGACTGTTTCCATTAGAAGGGAAGGGGGTGGTTAGGGAAGAAAAGACAGGTATCTCACATGCATGTGTGACACACGTGGCTGCCCTAGGGGTGGTTCTCCAGTCCAAACCAGGACATACAAGAGGGGCAGGAGTTAGGGGATAGAGCACATTCAGTTTTGAACATGGAGTTGGAGGCACCGGGGGCATCTAGGTGGAATCATCTGACAGGTAAAGAGAGAAGGGGGCAGGGGGAGAGAGAGAGAGAGAGAGAGAGAGAGAGAGAGAGAGAGAGAGAGAGAGAGAGAGGTGGTTCTGGCAGTCGGGGAGGCTTTTGGGACCAGAGAGGGAGTTTTGACCCCCTCAGCTCTGTATGGCTGAGCGTGGTTACACCTGAGACAGTGGGTGGCCTGTCCCTGTGGGGCACATAGCTGGAGAAGAGAGGAGATGGGTGAGGGTGGAGCCTTCGAGAGCTCTCTTTTAGAGGCCAGCAGAGGAAACAGTTATAGGGAGAGCAAACTCAGACTCTAAATGTGAATTTAGAATCTGGATTTGGTTTTAATAATTTACACACAGTGAGTTTCCCAAAGAAATGTGTAAGTCAGCTGTTTGGAACCACAAAGCCAAAGCTGGAAAGAATGACAGTGTCCTAAGTCAGTTCTGCATTTGATGGACATATGGATAGGTCTTTTGAGTCCACTGAATTTCCAGCTCATCACGGTCATCCTCCTGGCAGCGCCTCCTCCAGGAGCCGTTCCCAGTGGTGGTGATGACTCAGGCCATACCACACATTGACTGTAACCTTCCTGAGACCAAGGCCCTACAGATGGCTGTGGGAAATAGAAAGTACTGCACACTTTACCTGGAGGCATACAATTTCAAGTAGTTTTCACCCATCTTTAACATGAGCACTTAAATTAGGTGTAATTAGAAGGGATGACCTAGGACATGTGTGGAAAGTATGACTTAAGTATTTTGGGGAGCTCAAAACAAGAGGCCGAGTTCAGTGTTTCTTGCCTATAATCCCAGCATTTGGGGAGGCCAAGGCAGGCAGATCATGAGGTCAAGAGATTGAGACCATCTTGGCCAACATGGTGAAACCTGGTCTCTATTGAAAATACAAAAATTATCTGGGTGTAGTGGCAAGAATCTGTAGTCCCAGCTACTTGGGAGGCTGAGGCAGGAGAATTGCTTGAACCTGGGCGGTGGAGGTTGCAGTGAGCCAAGATCACACAACTGCACTCCAGCCTGGGCGACAGAGTGAGACTCCATCTCAAAAAAACCCCCAAAACAACAGCAACAAAAACAAGAAATGAGAAAGATGTTCTTTACTTTGTCAAATTTTGTTTTTTCTTTTCCTTGATAGAACGTTTTTTCTTTCTCTTGATAGAACTCAATCAAGTCTTCGCTATTATATAATCTGTCATTAAAGCTCTGACCTTGGGCAAGTTACCCAACTCTCCCGGATTTCATTCATAAAATAGAGCTAATAGGATCTGTGGGAGAACAAAGTGACATGACAGGTAGAAAGCCCCTTCATACATATTGGCCGTGAGGTATAGTTGTTATTAGCAGGAGGTGGGACGGGAGACATTAGAAGGGAGAGGAAGGCGGTTAAAGATGATGGGGCGTGCACAAAAGTGAGAATGTTTCTTATCAAGAAAGTGAGTGGTGCAAGAGGAAGGAAGAGGAATGTGATGGTGTGTGGTGTCTTGAAGGAACAGTGAAGGAAGGGTAAGAAGACACGGGAGCCTACATTGCCTGCCCAAGGGCAGTGCTCACACCCAGCAGTTGGATGTTTGGGACCTGAGATGTACCTAACTTAGAAAACTTGTTGAGTGCTCTATGCTCTAGTTGTTTCGTTTGAGTTTCCTGAAATCAGTTGGATTGTAGGATGTCATGAAAATGGAGATTGTAGGAAGGAACGTATTGGATTTAATCCTGTATTGGATTAAAAAGATCATCAGCTTTGGGTTATGAAAAATGTAGTGCCACAAAAGTATGAAAATGTGAAAACTTAGAAACATCAAACAACAGCTTATGAATGCAAAGCTTGGAAAATGAATTATGAAAGTCTGCTATTTTTTAAGAGCGTAAGACAAAATGAGGAAGACAGAGCTCAAGGAAAAGCAGTGAGGGGGTCCGGCTGAACACCGGACGGGTACACACTAAGAAAATAACCATTGCATTCAAATGTAAATGTTAATGCTTTTTATTCAGCAAAAAGATATCAGGGTAGGTAACACTTTGCTTCCCAAGCTCTGAATGTCATAAACGGAGTTGGAGGGTGGCTCCAGGATGTGGGTTAGGATTATAAATACCTGTGCCCTTTGCCCTTCCGCCTGTCCGAAATCAAATCCAAGGGTTCTCATGCTTTTGGACTTCATATTCAAAGAACACGTCAATAAAATTTGTGTGGCTCACCATAGGTTACCAGCTTTTAGTTCTGGCAAGCACGTACTTAAAAAGAAATCTGTCATCTCTCATCACCATTACTGCAGTAAAAAAGAAGACATTTAACATGCACATATGCACACACACACACACACACACACGCACGGGAAGAGGAGCATAACTAAAGACAATTTTTGGATCAAGTAAATTTATCTTTATGAGAAATTTTCTGTGGTGTCTTATCTTTCCTGGTTTTCATGTGGACTGGTAAAATAAGTGTCCACGCAAGCACAGATCTACAGAATCTGGCCAGAATTTACAAAGTACTGGTCCAGCTGTTGTCTACCGGCTCCCAGGTGACCAGCCCAGGACAGCTTGGGAGACAGAAATCCTGCCACCTTTGCTGCTACAAACGCAGGGCTGAAAGGACCAACCCTTTTTCCGGACCACTTTGTGATCCAAACCAAGTTATCAAAAGGATCTTTGTTGCCAGGGGATGTTTTTTTCTTTTCTGAGAGTAGGTTGGGTTGGGGCGGGGGGGGGGGGGGGGGGGGGGGGCGCGGGGGGGGAGGGGTTAGGAAGTGGGGATAGAAAGGATGGAAGGTAAATAGTATAACACAAGAAGGAAATTTTGAAGACTTACAATGAAGTACATATGACTTCCTTTTTCTTTTTTGCCCTGGCACTGCCTGAAAAGTATGTATGACTTTAAACTGTATAGGCAAGAATATTTTCGATTCTAGCGTAAAGTAGTAGGATATGGTATCACATTGGGAATGATGTCTTTCTTCATCAGTTGTTTCTTCTTAAAACAAGCCTTTTATGAGGTGTGAAAATGTAAAGAGGCCAGTTTTGCTGTTCCTAGGAGAATTGACTCCTTATTACAAAATATGAATGAGGTAGACATGTTGATTTTCAAAAGTTAACGGGAAAATCTACTAACCTGGATGGATCATGAAGAATGTAGTCCGCTTCATCAGTGTATGTGTTACGTGAACAGACATTAACAACTTGTTCTGGCAGTGACTTATCGGCAAAAATGGGATAAAAGTGAAAAAAGGAAGGAAATGCACCATGGTTTTTTATTACAAAAAAGTTTATAATAACAGACAACTTTTACTGATGGTTTATAAAAATTACAGACAACTATTATTGATAGCTTTTGTAAATGTAGAATTAATTTATATTACGTATCAGCTTCATATTCGGAAACACTTACTTTGAAAAATTAGCCTGATTTGTATTTAAAATTATTTTTAACAATACGGCGACAGCTTTGTTGCCCAAGCTGGTCTTAAACTCCCGGTGCCAAGCCACCCTCCCGCCTCGGCCTCCCAAAGCCCTGAGATTATAGGTGTGAGCTACCATATCCTGCTAGATTTATGCTTACTCATAATGTATCAACTTTGAACTTACCGTTTTCGGGGCTGCAGGGAATTTTTTGGGTCTGGATCTTAACTGTGTCACCCAAGCTGGAGTGCAGTGACACAATCACAGCTCACTGCAACCTCCAATTCCTGGGCTTAAGTCATTCTCCCACCTCAGCCTCCTGAGTAACTGGGACTCAAGGCACACACCACCATGCCTGTATAGTTTTTAGAAGTTTTCTGTAGAGATGGGATCTCACTATGTTGCCCAGGCTGGTCTTGAATTTCTAGACTCAAGAGATCTTCCCACCTTGATCTCCCAAAGTGCTGAGATTCCAGGCATGAGCCACCACACCCGGCCATGGTTGCAGGTTTTAGATGTTAAATTTACATATTTTGTGTTGGGGAAATTATTGAGTTAGGACCGCAGATGTGAACAAAGTTTAAAGGAGCTGACCCATCAGCCATTCCCCTCTCAATAGACTGTGCCACATTGCCCTTGGCCCAGGCACGAGAAAACGCTTTATACTGTCTTGCTAGGCTTCCCAGTCTCAGTCTGTAACTACATGTGCGTGCGTGCGTGCGTGCGTGCGTGTGTAGTTTCAGCTGAATTTTCTGTCCCAAGGTTAAGTTAGAAATCAGCTTTTGTTCACTTTACAATTTGTCGTGGCTTCAATCAGGCAGTGGTGTCAAAAGTGGTGTCATTGATGTCTCTGGTAGCCTTTGTTCTCTGAAGTCGATCAACAATGACCATGCTGACAGTTGAGTCTAAATAATTGCCCAGCCACAAGCTGCACGGTGAACACTTTCTCCCAGTTGGGAGTCCCAGTGTGCCAAGCAGATGAAGCATGGTTTGTCACTCACTGAGGAGGAGCCCCTGGGGTCCCCTTCCTTGGCCCCAGCTGGTCCCTTGCCCAGATGTGCTGTTTAGTGTCACCGGGAAATCACACTGGAGGAAGGGCAGCGACCACATACACATGAGGAAAATGTCAGGGCGGCTCCCACTCCCAGCAGGAGGACATCTCCATGGCACACTTTGGGCTGAGCGACCTTCTTCTCCACCCTCACTGGCCCCCCCACCAAGGTGCTGCTGCCTGTAGCTGGAAATTAAAATCCTCATTTGGGTTGAGTAAGAAAGTTTATACCCGTGAACCTTGTTTAGCAAATCTGCTCATAGTGCATATAACTTTCAGATTTCCCTCTCTAATGGAGTAGGATTGTAAATATACCTTGCCCATTCATCATGCCAGATACTCAAGATTTCTGTTCAACAGGCTGTCCCTTTATCAGTAAACTGCCCTAGCTAAGACCTACGAACATAAATGATAGGAACATTGCCTTCTTGGAGCTCTTTTTAGTACCGTTGGGTCATATCTCCCAGTGGGAAGGCCATGAGCATTTTGGAGTCAGGATATTTATGCATGGTAGTATAACTGTCAAGATGTAATATTTGAGGGCTTTTTTTGGTGGAACTTTTTGTGTATAAAAGCCAGTCAGGTTCATATAGTATACAAACTTGAGGATACTCTCTAAGGACCACAAATGCCAACAGTTTGAAGGAAAAGTGGGAGCACTGGACATTACCGAGGAGAAGTCTCAGGCCGTACCTATGTCTATTCTCTGTTGTAATGGCCTCAGCTCGGGTTAAGGTGAGTTTTTGAAAGCTCCCATTACTGTTGTGTGTGTGACGGGGATAGGACAGGGCCAAAAAGGGAAACAGTGGACTCAATAATTATATTTATGCTAATGATCTGGTCTGTGGGTCCTGTGGGTGCCTCCTGTCTCGTGATCCACCTAACACTGATGACAAAGCTCATTAGTACTTCTGGCCAGAGGGTGGACTTGGGGAAAGAGAGAACAGCATTCATGTCAATCAGTTTGGCTCCTCATTAATAACTCCAGAGAAAATAGTTGGCCAAAGAGGCCAGAATCACAAAAAGGAAGCTAACTTTGAGTTACCCACATCTATCCACCATTGTCACAGAGATGGGAAAAGGCTAGGTGTTTGGAATGTGGGAAGTGGATGAAGTGAAACGGTATCTTTTTGAGGTGAAAATAAAACTGTAAAAAAATCCCAATTGCAACAGTCCTAAAATAAAAGTACGTCTTTATAGAAGGAAAACAAAGTCCAAAGTGAACCTATTTGCTTCTCCTATTAACAGTGCTATTTTGAACAAAAGAAAGTAGTTGTGGATTCTGCGTCTGGGCAAGAGGGAGCAAGCACACACCACCCTGTCCCTCCCACCGCATGTAGCTGAGACCGTAGACAGAATTCATGGCACACCACGCTCAGTGGGGAAGGAGATCAGAATTTGAAGTTCCATCAAACTGTATCACCTGCCATAGACTCTGAGGTAGCCCAGACTCCAGTAGGCCACACTGGTGTGGACCGTCAGATCTTCCAGGGAAGCCCTTGCTTCCTGAGGAGCAGGAAAGGGGAGTCCTAACTTCCGAGTAAGCGAAAGAAGTCACCGTGTTCATTCTCTCCCTTCCCAACCCATAGTCAGTCCTGCACAGCAGCTGTAGGACTGGGCAGACATCCAGAACTGTGTGTGGTGGGGGAAGAGAATATCCTTCTTTCTGATGAAGGGAACTGTGGTCCTAAGAGCATGGGGTGAATTCTCATTGCTTTTCTTCTCTCTCTGTGCTTCTGCCACTTGACACCACACTGAAATGCAGTTGTGCTAGAAGTATGTGGCCAAGGAAGGCAACCAAATTCCAGCGTTGTAGTAGAAGGACCATGAAGAGGGGCCCTAGGGAACTGGAAGGTACCAGGGAGATCACAGAGTGGATCAAAAAAGCTGTTGCATAAAATATTGTATGAACACCTGGACTTGCTTCGGCGCTGTGCATGTTTCAATCTGACTATAAGCAGCATTACAAATGATTTGAGAGCTGACCTATGAACTAGAGCACACTGGTCCCAGGCTGACCGCTGCATGGTATACTTTTGGACAGATCCAAACAGTATTGCAGAGGCTTTCTACACTGAACTGACATTCAGCTGACAGGAGGTGGTTTGGGAATTGCAGCCTGAACTTACCAATGTTGATCATATGCTTAAAAAAAATTCGACATTGTCCTTATGATTTAAAGACCTGGATTCTCATAATGTAATAATCAACATTACTAAAAATTAGCCAGCATATGAAGAACCAGGATAATCTCAATTTGTATGTGAAAGAGCAATTAACACTTGCAAATACTGAAGTGTCGCAGATGTTGGAATTATCAAAGATTTAAATCAGTTATTCTAATCATGGCCCCAGAAGTATGGGAATAGGTGATATAATGCAGAACCAAGTGGTAATTTTAGAACTGAAATATATAATAATCAAAACTAAAAATTCATGGTAATCAAAATTTTAAATTCATGGGTAGGCTCAACAAGAGAATGAAGATAATGGAAAGAGAGGACAGTGGACTTGAAGATAGATTGATAGAAATGATTCAATCTCAACAACAGAGAAAAAAAGATTGAAAAAGAAATAAGTAAACAGGGCTTCAGGGATGTGTGAGGCCATACCAAAAATGTCCAACATTTGAGTCATCAGAGTTCCTAAAAGAGTGTGATTGGAAGAAATAATAGTTGGCAATTAAATTTGGTCAAAGACATGAGCTTTTGAATTTAAGAAGCTGAACAAAATGAAACAGGCTAAAATGAAAGAAATGCATACCCTGACACATCATAAACTATTGAAAACTAAAGAGAGAAAAAAATTGAAAGCAAATAGGGAAAAATGCTACATAACATATAATAGAACAAGTTGAATTACTGCAGATTTAATTGGTATGTTTAGACATACCACTGATACATAACATATAATAGAACAGGTTGAATGACTGAAGATTTTCTGTTAGAAACCACAAAGGCCAAAATAAAGGGGAATACTATTTTTAAAATATCCAGGGAACATATTCTTTATATACAAAGGTAAAATAATGATATTCTCAAATAAAAGAAAGCAATAATTCACTGCCAGAAGACTTGCTCTAAAAGAAATGCTGATAGACAGAAAATTATACTAGAGGAAAACTTGAAACATCAAGAGAAAAAGAAAAGCAACAGTAGTAAATATCTGAGTAAATATAATTATTCTCTTAAGTTCTTTAAAATATGTATAATAATGGAAAGCAAATATTATAGCATTAGTAGAATTTCATTGTATATAGATGTAACACATATGACAATTGTAACATAAAGAGAAGAGGTTAAAGGGACCAAAATGATGGTAAAATTTACTACTTGAAGTAGTAAAATATTAATTCTAAGAAGACTTTGAAAAGTTATCTATACATATATATTTATATAAATATATATATAAATGTGTAGAACAACAGCTTAAAACACCATTCAAAGGAATATAGTAAAAACTCAATAGATAAATAAAAATAGAGCACTGAAAATATTCAAATAATTCAAATAAAAGTAGGAAAGGAAAAACAGGAAAAAAATGAGGGAAGAAACCTAAAATAAATGATAAAGGGTAGATTTAAATTCCAACTGATAAATAATTACATTAAATATAAACGGTATAAACATACCAATTAAACGACAGAGATTGTCAGAATGGATTTTTTTAATGACCAAAGGCTATGCTATTTATAGGTAATACTTTTTAAATATAATGAAATTAGTGTGTTAAAAGTAAAAAGTAAAGAGATATATACTAATCATAAGAAAGCTGGAAGGGCCATATTAATGTCAGAAATAGTAGACTGTAGAGCAACAAAAATTATCAGGGATAAAGAGGAACATTGTATAAAGAAAAATGGGTAAGTTCACCAAGATGACATAACAAGCATAAAAAGGTGTATGTACCTAACAACAAAGTTTCAAAGTACATGAAACAGAATAGAACTGAAAGGAAAAATGGACAATTATAGTTAGGGGCTTCAATGCAGCTCCCCCAGTAATTGCAAGAATAAGTAGACAGCATACCAGTAAGGATATGGAAAAACTGAACAATACCATCAGACTTGCTAATTGACATTTACAAAATCTTCTTCCCTCAAACAGCAGAATATATAGTCCTTTAAAATCCTCAGGGAGCGTTCACAAACATAGGTGATAGCCAGAGACATAAAACAAACCTAAAAATGATTCAAAGAATTGAAATCATCAAAATTAGTTATCTAACTATAATGAGATTTAACTAGAAATCAGCAAAATAAAGATAACTGATAAATCTGTAAATACTAGGAAATTAAACAACATACTGCTAAGTAATCTGTGAATCAAAGGCAAGTCTCAGAGAAAGCAGAAAATATTCTGAAGTGAACAAAATTGAGAATGCAATATATCATAATTCATATGAAGTGGCTAAAGCAGGGCCTAGAGGGAAATATGGAGGATTAAATCTTCACATTAGAAAAGAAAAAAAGAACTGCAATGAGCAATCTAGGCTTCCACATAAACTATGAAAAGAAGAGCAAAACAAGTCTAAAGCAAGCAGAAAGAAATTTTATAAAGGTAAGAGTAGATATCAATTAAGTTGAAAACAACAACAGGGGAGAAAAACAAATGAAATAAAAATCTGGTTCTTTATCAAGAGCTGATAAACCTCTAGCCATATTGACAAGGAAATAAGACATAAATTACCAAAGTAAGGCATGAAAGAGGGCATGTCACTATAGTCCCCACAAGCGTATAATAAGCAAATACCACCAACAGCTCCGTGCACATAAGTTCAACAATATAGATGAAATAGACCAAATCCTAGAAACAAGCTACCAAAACTCACCCCAAAAGAAATCAATTTCTTGAATATCCCTTTGTATCTCAATAAATTCAATTTATAATTAAAACTTTACCAAAAACTCAGAAAACAAAACCTAAAAAACTTCAGATCTGGATGGTTTTACTGGTAGAATTCTCTAACAAACATTTATGGAAGAAATGACACCAATTCTACAAGACTCTTTCAAAAAATAAAAGAGGAGGCAACACTTCCCAACTCATGTTATGAAGCCAGCGTTATTCTGATTACCAAACCAGACAAGGAGAGTACAGTAAAAGAAAACTACAGACCAGTGTCTCTTAGGAACATAAATGTAAAAATCCTTCACAAAATATTAGTAAATTGAATTAGGCAGTATACAAAAAGAGTAACAAGTCCTGACCGAGTGGAGTTAGCGTTGGAAGGCAAGGCTAATTCAGCGTTTGAAAATCAGTCAATGTAGGGCTGGGTGCAGTGGCTCACCCTTGTAATCCCAGCCCTTTGGGAGGCTGAGGCAGGCAGATCACGAGGTCAAGAGATTGGGACCATTCTGGCCAACATGGTGAAACTGTCTCTACTAAAAATACAAAAATTAGTTGGGCATGATGGCGTGCACCCAAAGTCCCAGCTACTCAGGAGGCTGAGGCAGGAGAATAACATGAACCCGGGAGGTGGAGGTTGCAGTGAGCCAAGATCACACCACTGCACTCCAGCCTGGTGACAAAGTAAGACTCTCTCTCAGAAAGAAAAGAAAATCAGTCAATGTAATCTACCATATTAACATACCAAAGAAGAAACTGTCACATGATAATATTAAAAGATTCAGAAAAAGCAGTTGACAAAATTCAACATACATTCATGATGTAAAGCTCTGAACAATCTATATAGGATTAAAAGGCAACTTCCTTGACCTGATAAAGAACATCTACAAAAATCCACAGGTATGATAACAATAGACATTGCAGACTACAGGAGGGGGAGGGAAGGAGGAGGCCATGAATTGAAAACTATCTATGGGGTACTATACTCACTACCTGGATGACAGGATCACTCATACCCCAAACCTCAGCATCATGCAATGCAATACACCCATGTAACAAACTTGCACGTATACCCCCATATCTAAAATAAAAGTTGAAGAAAAAGAAACCTGTAGCAAACATCATACTTGATGGTGAAAAACCTAACACCCTTTAAGACTGGAAACAGGGCAAGTACGTTCACTTTTAACATGATACTGGAGTTTCTGTCCATTGGAATAAGGCAAGAAAAAGAAATAAAAGGCTTACGAGTTGTAAGAAAACTGCCTATTTGCAAACAACTTGATTAGCCATATAGAAAATCCTAAGAAATTTACAGAAAAAGCTCTTAGAATGGCATTGTCAGTTAGATGTAAGGTTGTGTAGCCAGTCTGGAAAATAGTTCAGTAGTTTATTAAAATTTATTTTAATTTTTATAGATTTAGGGATATAAGTGCAGTTGTATTAAATGGATATATTATGTAATGGTAAAGCCTGGGTTTTCAGTGTAGCCATCACACAAACAGTGGACATTGTACCCAATAGGCAGTAAAATAGGTAGTATTTCATCCCTCACTCCCCTCCCCCACACCTTTCAGAGTCTTTCATGTCTGTTATTCCACTCTGCATGTTCGTATGCACCTGTTGTTTAGCTCCCACTTATAACTGTACTATAAGCACAGCTTTTGAGTTTCTGAGTAATTTCACTTAGGATAATGGCCTCCATTTTCATCCATGTTGCTCAAAAGAATTAATTCTTTTCTATGGCTGAGTAGTATTCAATTTTGTGTGCGTGCATGTGTGTGTGTGCACCTGTGTGTATGTGTATATCACATTTTTAGTCCAGTTATCTGTTAATGAACACGTAGGTTGATTCCACATCTCTGCTCTTGTGAGTAGAGCTGCAATAAACATAGAAGTGCAGGTGTCTCGTTGGTAAAATGATTTCTTTTCCTTTGGGCAGACACCCAGTAGTGGGATTGCTGGATCAAAGGTAGTTCTATATTTAGTTATTTGAGAAATCTCCATACTGTTTCCCATAATGTACATTCCACTAACAGTGTATAAGTGTTTCCTTTTCTCCACATCCTTACATCTGGTGATCAGTGATTTTTTTCATGTTTCTTGGCCTCCTGCCTATTTTTTTTTTTTGAAAAATGTCTGTTCATGTCTTTTGTCCACTTTTTAATGGGGTTACTTGTTTCTTTCTTGTTGAGTTGTTTGAATTCCTTGTAGATTCTGGCTATTAGCCCTCAGCTGTATGCAGAGTTTGCAAATATCTTCTCCCATTGTGTAGGATGTCTGTTTACCCTGTTGATGATTTCTTTTGCTGTGCAAAAGCTTTTTAGTTTAGTTAAGTCCCATTTGTCTGTTTTTGTTTTTGTTGCATTTCCTTTTGAGGACTTAGTCACAAATTCTTTGCTTTGACCAATATCCAGAGGGTTTTTCCAGGATTTTCTTCCAGAATTTTAATAGTTTCAGGTTTTATATTTAAATCTTCAATCTATCTTGATATGATTTTTTTTATATGGAGAGAGATAGGGGTCCAGTTCCATTTTTCTGCATATGGCTCTCCAATTTTTTTAGCACCGTTGATTGAATACGGTGTCCTTTCCCCACTGTACATTTTTGCCTATTTTGTCAAAAATTAGTTAGTTGTAGGTATGTGGCTTTATTTCTGGGTTCCCTGTTCTGTTCCATTGATTTATGTGTCTATTTTTGTACTAGTACCGTGTTATTTTGGTTACCATAGCCTTGTAGTATAATTTGAAGTCATGTAATGTGATTCCTCCAGGAACTAAACAAAAGCCTGGATCGCCAAAGCAATCCTACTTCAGTAGTTTCTGATGAAGTTATATACATCCTTAACATATGACCCAGCAGTGCCATCCCTAGTACATGCAACAGCGTGGATAAATTTTAACATTACACCTAGTGAAATAAGCCAGTCTCAAAGGTTACATGCTATATGATTCCATTTATATGACATTCTAGAAATGGCAAAATGATAAGGAAAAATTGGTTTCCAGGGATTAGAAGTGTGTAAGGCACAACCTGAAGGAGTTCTTTGAGGTGATTGTTTGGGGTGGTGGAGCAATTCCATATCTGATTCTATCCTGAGTGATGGCAAGGAGGCAAATCTACGTATGTGTTAAAACTGACAGAATTTGTACATCAAAAGAGGCCTCGATTTTGTATACGCTAATTTAAAAAATTATGTTAAAAATATGAGTTTTCTTAGCAAAAGTGAATGTATCCGATTTTATTATTCTGTTCTCTCATTGCTATAAAGAAATACCTGAGACAGGGCAATTTATAAAGGAAAGAGTTTTAATTGGCTCATGACTCTGCAGATTGTAGAGGAAGCCTGGCAGGCTCTGTTTCTGGTAAGACCTCAGACAGCTTACAGTCATGGCAGAAGGTAAAGGAGGAGCCAGCATGTTGCATGGCCAGAGAAGGAGAAAGAAAAAGGTTGGGTGGAGTAGGTGCTACACCCTGTTAAACAACTGGATCCCATCATAACTCACTCACACACTGTCATGAGAACAACACCAAGGGGGCGGTGCTAACTCATTCGTGAGAACTCTGCCCCTGCGAGCCAGTCACCTCCCACCAGGCCCCACCTCCAACACTGGGAATTAATTACAATTGACATGAGATTTGTGCAGGGACACAGGTCCAAACCATATCAGTGATGTTCTTGTGATTGCTTATCGACTAACCAGATCAGTACTGTTCAGTATAACTTTCTGAGATGATGAAAATGTTCTGTATCTGCGCTGTTCAGTATCATACATACTAGCTACATGTACTGAGCACGTGAAGTAATATTTTACTCTTATTTTAAATTTTATTTTAATTTTTAGTTAAAGTAAATGAAATTAAATATTAGTTCCTCAGGAAGCTTCATACCACACTGTGGTATAAACTTTTTCCGCCCTGAGTTTGTCTAATCAATGTCCTAAGAAGACAAGGATGCGGAGATGTCAGGAAAGCAGCGCTTGGAAGGTCCCTGCAGATCTCCCTGTACTGGGTGTTCCAGAGCGGCTTGCCCCTTCCAACCGGTTCAAATGGGGACTATGAGAAGTACAAATTCAGCCTGGTCATGCCGAGTTCAGCTTTGCGATGAGACTGTTTGGCCAGTATTTCTTTACTTTACATCCCGTCTGGACTTAGTTTGGAGTAATGTTTTTCCCTCTTATTCATAGTTTTTTTAGAAGTATTGTGATACCTTCTTTTCATGTGTGTTTAC